TATACTTCAGTACATCTGGAGATCTTTTGGAGAGAGGAATAATCTAAATATAATGAAGTATTTTTCCTTGTTTGTTTGTTTGTTTCTCAAAAACATCCAGTTGACATTTCATCTAAAGAGCCAGTTTCTGATTACTTCTAAACTCTCTCCAAAACAGAAAGTAGTACTGTATATAGTCCTTTTCCACCCTCATTGTTTTTGCCTTACTGAATGCTAAAAATATACTGTATCAAGTTCAAATTGTGTATTTGTGGTGTTTCTGTCTAACATTTACAATAAATGGAGCAGTCGACATGAGACAGGCCTGCCTGGAACATGCAGCAGCACATTCAAAATGACTCCCTTTAATGTCAGAACCTCACTTTACATTAGCTGTGGTGTAGAACAAGCAGACAGATAATGTCATTTTGTCTCTGTGCTTTACAGCTACTCCATTGTGGTGGGGAAAGTCTGCCAGGCAGTGTTTCTCATCTTAAATATCAGCCTTAATTGTGCCAGTGTGCAGGAAGACCTCATCATCCTCAGTGGGACTGTAACTGGCTTCAACTTAACTTAACCTTTCTGCACTGTACAAGCGGCAGTCAAAATGATATTTATAAATGGATCTTTCGTAAGGCTATACAATATTAGAAATTGTCGCACGCACCTCGGTTGAATACCGCGACCCAGTGGTTAGGTAGAAGCATGTGCCCTGAGCGTGCATCATGCAGCTCTGTGGGGAGAAGAAATGAAATCAAGGGTTTGGATCATGCAGATCTTCCCACTCAGAAACATATTCAAATGCTATTTATATACCTCTGCCAAGATTTTTCTTATGTTCACCAGAAGAAGGAGAAAACCCACTGCAGTCATTACTCTCCATCAGCATGCTCAAATTTCTGAGCTTTTTTATTTCTTAGGTTAAAGGGCTGCTCTTCTTTTATTCTTCAAAGACATGCAAATGTCTTTTACCTTCATTCCAATAAAGCAGGCTTATTAAATGCATTAGAGAGAATCAAAGTAGAGGTGAGCTTTGAGTACATTCAAAGGGGGTGGTGATTTGAGCTTGAAAAGGGAAAAAGATGGGAGCCTCCTTAGTGTCCCTGCTCCCATTACTGTACACTATTTCATTTAGCACCAATTAGATTTTCAGTTCCCTTTCTGCTGCTAATGCACAGGCTTGCAGGATCCACGCTAAATTAAGCACCAGATCTTCATTGCAGGCTGCAAACCAATTGATTTCACCCCTTAATCAATTTATTTCATTAGTTATACATTCCTCTTTTTCCCTCTCGCCTCCCTCTCCGTCGGCTTGTCTCAGGAGCTGGCGTGAGGATAGTGACCTATCTTGGAGTGTGACACAGAGGAGAGTGATTTGAATGATAACCAAATAGCTAGCGCGGCCTCGGTGGTGTTTAAAGATCATATGTAAATCAAATGTCGGGGGGGGAGAAATTGCTTGGTGGGGTTCTGTCAGAAAACAATTTAGTGATCGTTAAAAGGGATGCCTCGCCGTCGTGCAAACCTCCGCAAATTAAATCAATGCAGCCACCGGTCTCTGCCCCCTTTCACTTCTATCAAGCCCCCCTCCTTCCGCTCCCACTCTCATCTTTCTTCTCTCTCTCCCACACTCTCTCTCTCACACACACACACACATACACACCCAAGGATGTAAAGATGCCCACATTAGAAGACAGAGAATGAGTCTAAACCTTTAAGATTTTCTGGAAAAGAAAGATAAGGATGCTTTTATTACTCTGCTTTGACAGTTTTGGAATTATGAAGGGAAAAAGTGGAACTTCTAAGCTGCTGTGTAAATAACACAAAGGGACACAGCGTGGCACACTCTTGATGACAGGCGTGATAATGCAACATGAGATGCAGGCAGATTGAAAGAGACCCCACCCAGGATGATCTCACCTAATGAAATGAGTTACTATAGCAGCACAAGACAGAAGACACCAGTTCAGCAGTAGTTATGGAAAAAAATACTCTAAAATGCTAACCCCCCCAAGAGAGCCAGTCATGCTTGACTCCTATCCCTAAAGCCTGTATGTGTCAATCACATTCCCTGGGGAGAGGCTGCATGTTTCAGAAGACTAAGGAAATAAAAACATGTTGTGGAAAATCTCCATTTTGTAGAGGTAACATCACTCACTGCAACATGTTTGCTGAGTTGTGTGCCAGTGCAGGCTACAGATGTGGTTTGCAGTGTAAAAGGAGAGAATACATTTTCCTTTTCTCAACCTTTGCAAACACGGATGTGCAAGTGGAGATGTGTGTGGGCTGGTATGTACGCATGCCCACATGTACATTTGCTGTGCTGTCTGCAGGGTGTGCCGTCATACACAGTGTCATTATGAACACATACTGTGGAAAACAAAAAGAACAACCCCATGTGTTGTGTTAGAGGCTTGTAACGGCACCTTTGTTGAGGATAACATGCTGGTGCTTACACATGCATCTCACACATACTCACTCACTCACACAGCCATGTAGGGATGTTGCCGTACACACTCATTGTGTCTGCTTGTCAAATGGTACCTGATATCCGCCAGGGTCTGGGAATCAAATTAAGTGAGCGACTGCTGCCGAGGCCGTCTTCTCTTTTTTCTCATACGCCATCTTCGGGCATAATTAATTTTATCATCAGCGTCATTATTATTGTTAAATTGTTTTTCTTTTTCTTTTTTTTTTCATTTTTCTACCCACTCTCACTTGCCTTGAATACCAAGCGTATGCTAATGTGTTTTGGAGATTGCCAGCGTACACAGAGATGGAGCGAGGTAGAGAGGAATGAGAATGAGAGAGGGCCTGAGATGAGGAGAGGGGTGGGAAATGGAGGTGAGACAGAGAGAAGAGTGGGTGGAGGGAGAGCAATGAGGTTGGGAGGCAGGTGGAGGGGGAGAAAGGGTGTCAGCGTTGGTGGTGGGGTGCTGTTTGCGAGGGGCGCATTACATATTCCACCGGCGTACTTGGAACCCAATTAATCAAGCAGAGGAGAGGAGAGATGCAGAAAGGATGAGATCGCCCTTCACGTTGATGAGGCCTGGCCGGGGCAAACGCTCAACCACCTGAGCTCCTAACAGCCATGCACACAGGAATTATGGCAATACCTCCACTCCCCTCTCTCTCCCTTTCTCTCTCTCAAACACACACTTTCTAGCTCTTTCATCTCCCTCCTCTTTTTCCTCATCACTCTCTTTGTATTAATGTAACATGGTGTCTCACCTTCTCTCCTTCTTCTACTAAAGCTATGTTTTTCACCCTCTGGAGATGAAATGCAGGAATTATCTTTTCCCCATTTATCTGTTGTTAAACACATTGCTAAAAGTTTTCACGTAACGTGAGAGTGGGAACAATTTAAAACACACTGATAAAGACTGGCAATGTAAAATGAGTAGGAGGAATAAGGAAATGAATTTTAAAAAATCATGTTTTTCAGGTATTTCTGATATGTTTGTCAAATGTGTCTCACCAGGAAAGATTACGACCTTTAAGAGTTCAAGAGTTATCTTCAGTGCCACTTTCACTGACTTTGCAATGGAGCAGCTCTCCCCTCCTCTCCACAGATTTGGGGTCAAGCGTGGCGGCCAGCCACCGCTGGCGATCGTTGGGAAATTGACTGACTCATAGAGGAAGAGAGACCAAGAGAAAAACTCCAGTCCCTCGTTGACTTAATTTGATTCCCCTCCCTGGAACGCAAGCCAATAGATCCCGTATCTACATAGTGGTCTGTGCAGGGTCTATAAATATTGACCCTCCATTTCCTGTGTGTGGCGTTAATGAAGCATTTAGTATACCCACGGCATTATGGAGGACCTATGTAAGGCCACCTCTCCTCTCAGTGGCATTGGCGTCAATGGCACAGACACACACACACACACACACACACACACACACACACACACACACACAATAGATGGACTGAGGTGCCAAGAAGCCAGGCTTTCAATAGGCAGGTGAAAAAGGTCACTTTAAATGCCCTTATAGCAGGAAAAAACTAAAATAAATACTCTCATAGTACTCTCATAAACCCTGAACATTTTGTAGTTGAAGCTGAAGGCTGTCATTCAGCACCTGGCACCAACGTGTTTTTTGTTTTGTTTTGTTTGTTTGTTGCCCCACAATGTCTGTCAACTGTCTGTTGATGTACCAGTGTCCGTCTTCCATCTAAAACAACGCTTTGCCAATGTGGATTTTCTCACATTTTGTTCATGTATTTGGAGTTTTGAGACATTATGCTAATTAACACAAAATATTCAGACTTCTCTGACTAGAGTAAGGCAGTGTTTATGTTTAGATTTTAGGCATGCTTCCCTATGTTGATGCAGTGATGTAAAACATATAGTAGTATGGTACTGGTAATGTATGACAAAAGTGAGGAGCAGATGGACAATTGACCCCCTGCAGAAGTTTGTTTTGACTAAACGTGTTGCCGTTACTGCTGCTAAGCTGGGGCCGACCTTTATTTTTTCACACACTGGGTGTGAAGGACAGTTCTCCCAAAATGTCCTTTTAGAGTTTCCTCTCTATCACACAACCTCCCACATCTCTCTACTGCACCCCCACTTCTCACCTGTCACCCCTTCACCTCACAACCAAACACCCTCCATCCTTTTTTGGGGAAAAAAATGAAATAATTTTGTTGTGGGGTCCCCGGGCGGTTTTGTAATTTCATGCCTGTGTATGATAATTTTATGCTGTCCTGCGTCGCGTAACTCAGGGCTGCCAAATGCTGACAGGTGATAAATACGATCTTTTCCGCCCCGTGTGCAACAGACCTGAAAAAAAAAAGACAGACAGGAGGGGTTCCCGGCTTGCCCCCCCCTCCTTCCCTTGCCCACCCTCTTTCATTCACTTGCAACCTGCCTCCCTGCCTCCCCCTTATCTCTTGTTTCCTCTCTGTCTCTCTTTACCTCCCATCTTTTTCTATCTCTCCCTCCCCTGTCTTTTCCCACTCTTCGTCCTCTTCTGCCCAGAAGATACCAAGAAAACAAGAACCTTCACGTAGCCTTGAACAGCAGGGATAGCGATCAGTGCATTTTTTGCTTCTCACGGGAGTCAAAGGAAATAAACAAGCGGGACAGGTTGCAGAGGGGCAGGTTTCCACCCATCAAAGAGACATTTGTGTGGCAAAGGGGCAGAAGAACAGAGACAGGAGTGAGGGAGAAGTGAGAGGACATGGAAGTGACCCAGGCGTGGAGGACTGATGGCTTTCAGAATGACGTAATTATTCGCCTCCTTGCCTTGTGCGGTTAGAATGATGATATCCAGATTTTAAAAAAAAGTTCCACTTGTTCACGCATGTCACATGTACACAGCGTACACTGTGACCTTCACATTATGCCTGCATGTCATGTGCATTACAGTTTATAATTTATGGCAAACACATTATACACATTATAAAGGTTGTGCTGTCTTATGTGGTATGGTTGGTTTTCTCTACAGCAAAAAGACCTATTAGAAATTCACCTTTTTTATGTGCAAATGCAAAAGCTTGATGCAGGAAAATTGAATATGATCTTTCCTTACAGCATATCTGTGCATTATGCACCATGTTCAAGAAGTCCACTCAGTCAATCTAGAGATGTGGGCCAGGGGAGGGGTGTCTGCACCATCGAGGTTCCAAGTCATTAAGCAGCCAGAAATTAATTGACTTCACGATGCTTATGTGGCTGAGCGTGGGTTTAACTCAGGCTCTATTAGCACTGTACTGTGTTCCTAGAGCTGCAAAACTGGAGGGACACAGCCCTATTCAGTACAAAATGTGTCCTGATGTCTCACATAGTATGATTAATAAGGTGATCACATGGTGACAAAATGCCTCAATGATATACTGAAAGGTTAATAATGTACATGGATGCCAATGATCTGAACTTAGTGCTGCAGTTAGGTGTTGTCAATAGGCTCCAATATGACCTACGAGGTTTTTAGTTCTTAAGATACTCACAGGATTGAAGTCTCTATTAAGATATGGAGCAGTTTTTTTTCTGTCATGATACATATGAGTTGACCTGAGGCTTGTGGCAAGCCACACACAGACGCACATACACTTGGATGAGGACTGTCCTCGAGGCTCTCTTTGGCCTCTATGTACAATCAGTCTTTCAGAATCCAATCAGGCTGAAGTCTCCAGAGGGAAAAACGAAACAGAGGAGGAGGTTGCAATGAGCTAAGAAACATAGAGTCAAAGCACACCAGGAGCTGAACACACACAGTCTGTGACACACTGTATATGCCTGTGTTTGTTAGCTGTGCTCAGGGGCAGTGGGTGCTCACCACAGGGTTCATAGTGATACCGTGTATCAAGACAGTTCACTGTGTGTGTGTGTGTGTGTGCATGGAGGGTTCTGCTAAAATCTGGTGTGACTTATTTGCATTATGCTACTTGGAAGGGGAAAGACAGACTCTGAGTTGACAATTTAAAAGTGGGTTCTTTTCCGTGATGTGAGTTTTACAATTATGCTGAAAAAGATGATCAAGCAGCATCAAGCAATAACTTTTAATGTATTTCGTGAACATTTTTAGCTCCATATCATATGTGAAAATTCTTTTTTATGGTCAGAAATTCTGTACTTTTACAGTGTTGCTCTTGTAGATACAAACAGTGGCAGTGAATTTTCTTCTTCTTATTATTATTATTATTACTTCACAAAAAAATATTCAGATACTAATTTGATGAGACAAAGGAGGGGCTGAGTTCATGGTTCATCCTTGTGACCCTTGGACAAAATGTGTTCATGTCGTTGCGTATTCAAGATTCTTCTCAGTCTCTAAGTACCTACTCATGCAGAGGACAGAGTGCCACCTATTGGCTGCCAGTTGGCTGCAAGATCTGTTCTCCTCCTCCCCCACTGTGATGTGCTGTGATATCTTTAAGAGGCGCATTTATTCATTTGGCAAAGAATCATAATATACTTACAGTGTGCGACTTAATTGCATAGCCCATATATAATACAATATAACTGTCAGGTTAAATCTCATGTATGTTAGTCTAAAACCTATTAGATTAACATGTGTAGATAAACAGAATAAAATGTGATGGAAGGTTTAGCCCATAACTTTTACATAAAAATCTATGTGATATGCAGTGAAAAACCAAACAAGCCAAAACAAAAGGGATAAATCAAATGCATTCTAAATGAGAAGTGTATTCCTTTATGCTGTGGCTTTGACCCAGACAGAATGTGATTACAGCAGACCCAGGACACTGGACAAATCATTAAAATTATGTCAAGGAAAAATCCCAGTGAGCTTAATAAAACAGCATGATTAAAATTCAAGCAAGGATGGCAGTTATTCCACACACAATGGCTGTCTGCTTAATATACAGCAGTATGCATGCCCCGGGTCTCGTTGTCCGAGGCCTCAGCGCTTATAAAGAGCCGGGTCTTTTTACAATTTCACCAGGTCTGAGAAAGCAAGCTGCTCACACATTCATGCTCTATAGCAGAGTTTTGCATGAAGGTTAGCTTCACCTCTGACACTCCATAATCTCCAGTTCATGGCACCTAAAGGCACCTTGTCTTCCTTTCTTTCTTTCTTACAGTGCACTCTGGGTCTTTCTTTCATATCTCCTTGCTGTATTTCTGTTTCCAAAGCAGCTTCAGATAACAACTGGAAGTCAAACAGGTCTGAATGTCAAGGACAGCAGCAGTCTCATGCCCCAGAAACTTTTTTCTTTTTGCTGTTTTTCTTTCAATAAATAACTGTTAGAGAGGTTCCAGTCTGTCAGATACTGTACGTAAAGTGTTGACAGTCTGAAAGTGATGAACTGGGAGAAATCTGTTCAGCA